ATTTCGTGTTTTCACTCTATATGTTTAAAAGTGGTAGAAATAGATCATTAGAGAGACCAATTTCATGTTTTCACACTATATGTTTAAAAGTGGTAGAAATAGATCATTAGAGAGACCAATTTCATGTTTTCACGCTATATGCTTAACACACAGATGTAACCAAAATTGTTGAAATTCACAAAATGTTTCAGGATTCCTGCTCTTTGATTAATTAAAAATTATAAATTTTTCTTGGAAATGTAGAATTAAACTTATAAGAATAGGCTTATGAAATATTTCTTACACAATTCTCAGAAATGGGCCCACCGCCACTCTCCCCGGTGTTTCAGCATTAAGCTTGAGGGCTTATAACGTTAAAAATTGCGTTGGGTTCAATAACCCTCAGTGGCCACAGCGCTGATGGCCTATTGTGTAACTTTGCGCTTATACACAAACAAAGAAAACAATAACCGTTATCGTCAAAAATAGGTTATATTTAGACTGTTCAAGTAAAACAAACACGCATTTTATTGAGTTTCTTTTACCAGTAATGTAATTACTTGTATTTAGAGCTGATTCATCATTGGTTAGCTGTTGCGTCCAATCATTTTTGCTTTCAGTGTTTGCTTGTTTGTTAAGCGCAAAGCTTGACAATTAGCTATCTGTGCTGTCCCCACTATGGGTATCGAAACCCGGATTCTAGTGTTGTAGAATCTAGGGTACATTTTTTTATTTATTTTTTGCTTTTAAATAGTTTTCACAAAACTCCATATATGAATAATAACTAAAAGTTCTGTAGCGGTTGCTTTTATTCAAATCAAAACTAGATTGTAAATGTCTTCATAACACCAAAATATCAAATTTGGCAATAAGGCCATTTTAGTTTCAAAGTCTCAAGCCACGGCATTACTATGTTTTCTCTCGTTGTCCATAAGTTTTGGTTAATTATCTTTCTCAACAGAAACTACAACTGAAATCTTTTCCATGTTCCTTAGAAATAGATTTGTATCTCCAATTTTCATTCGATGCTTTTTCAGATGTTGTTACTCTTTGTTTGTAACAAAATATGAAGTAAATATTGATTTTTGTGTGTGTGTATGGTGAGGGGAATTCATTTTCGTCAGATCGGTTACTAAGAAAACATTTGCATCTTTGCTAAATTTGATTTCACTTATAAAAAACAACAACCCGAATTTGAAGGCCAAACTAAGAAAACATTTGCATCTTTGCTAGATTTGATTTCACTTATAAAAAACAACAACCCGAATTTGAAGGCCAAACTAAGAAAACATTTGCATCTTTGCTAAATTTGATTTCACTTATAAAAAACAACAACCCGAATTTGAAGGCCAAACTAAGAAAACATTTTCGTTAATTAATAAATAAGATTGCCTTTTTTTTTAGAATCTTAATATTAATCAACACGTTGTCTTAATTGGGGAATATGAAGTTTATTTCCTGTAAAATAACTATGGCCAGGTGGTTAAGGCGCTCGACTCGCAATCTGAGGGTCGCGGGTTCGAATCCCTGTCACACCAAACATGCTGGCCCTTTCAGCCGTGGAGGCGTTATAATGTGACTGTCAATCCCACTATTCGTTGGTAAAAGAGTAGCCCAAGAGTTTGCGGTGGTGGTGTTGGCTAGCTGCCTTCCCTCTAGTCTTACACTGCTAAATTAGGGATGGCTAGCGCAGATAGCCCTCGTGTAGCTTTGCGCGAAATTAATAAACAAACAAACAAACTATAAAAAAGAACGGTATTCGAAAACGTATATCAAAAAAAATGTTTATATTGTCGACTAATTAAGCTTCTTTGAATAATATTTAATACATTTTAACACATTTAATAATATTTTAAGAAATAATCACAATATACAAACTAAAATCGTATTGTTATTGTTAGTAAAATAGCACCTGTTGTAGCATTGCTATTGTTACCTAACGTAACCGATTATTCATTACTTTTATGTTAATTTTTATAGACGATTTTAACAAAGAAACGACCACACAAGTTGTTGAGAGAAATGCTTATCCAACCGAGACTTCAGAAGTGTCGAATCCTTCTGGTGATGAAGAACTACTTTATAAAGAAAAGAAGACTGAGGAACTCAGTACAAAAGAAAAGAATGAAAAACCAAGCACAGAATATAAGAATGAAGATCTAAAAACAGAAAGAGAAAAGGAGGAACTGAGCGAAGAAACTGATAACACCGAGATAAATAAAGAAAACGAGATGAACAAATCAAATACTGAAGTCAAGAATGAGGAACCAGGTCAAGAAGACAAGAACGAGGAATCAAATAAAGAAGATAAGAACGAGGAATCAAATAAAGAAGACAAGAACGAGGAACCAAATAAAGAAGACAAGAACGAGGAATCAAATAAAGAAGATAAGAACGAGGAACCAAATGAAGAAGACAAGAACGAGGAATCAAATAAAGAAGACAAGAACGAGGAATCAAATAAAGAAGATAAGAACGAGGAACCAAATGAAGAAGACAAGAACGAGGAATCAAATAAAGAAGATAAGAACGAGGAACCAAATGAAGAAGACAAGAACGAGGAATCAAATAAAGAAAACAAAAAAGAGGAAACAGATAAAGAAGACAAAAAAGAGGAAACAGATAAAGAAGACAAAAAAGAGGAAACAGATAAAGAAGACAAAAAAGAGGAAACAGGTAAAGAAGACAAGAAAGAGGATCTAGATAAAGAAGACGAGAATGAGAAACCAAATAAAGAAGACGAGAATGGTGACCCAGATAAAGAAGATAAGAATGAGGAACTAAATAAAGAAGACAAGAATAAGAAACTAAATAAAGAAGACAAGAATGGGGACCCAGATAAAGAAGATAAGAATGAGGAATTAAATAAAGAAGACGAGAATGGGGAATCAAATAAAGAAGACAATAAAGAGGACCTAGATAAAGAAGACAAGAATGAGGAACCAAGCGTAGAATACAAGAATGAGGGTCAAGAAACAGAAAAAATGGACGAAGAAATGAAGAAAGAAACTGAAATTATGGATATAAATGCAGAAAACCAGATGAGCAAATTAAGTACAGAAGACGAGAATAAGGAACCAAACTCAAAGTGCGTGGACGATCTAAAAACTGTAAAAAGTAATGAGGAACCGAGTACGGAAACTGGAAGTGTGAAGATAAATGCAGAGAAACAGACGAATATGCTAAGTACTAAAGAAAAGAATGAGGATCTAATATCAAGGAAAGTTAATGAGGGGGCGAGTAGAGAAAATCCAAATGGGAAGCAAACCACTAAAGAAAATGACGCAGTTTTGGGAACAGGAAACGAGAACTATAATCTAGAAGAAATAAAAATGAAGAATGAAACTGACATTAAGAATAAGGGTGTAAGTTTAGTAAATGGTGATGAAACGTTGCTCACGAAAGATGAAAGTAATTACCAAACTGTATTTCAGGACCCGTATTCAAGAGTAAATGAAGCTACTCGTGGATTGTCAACGCTAAATAGAAATAATTACCTGAGTGAAAACTACGTTAATAATTGGAGCTTATCTGGAATAAGAGCTCCATTTCATTATTACACACCCTATCTGGATAATACCTGTCGCACCACTGACGGAAGACAAGGAGTGTGTGGGGAACCATTTAATTGTCCAACACTAATATCCAATTATTACTTTCTTCAGCCTCAACCGACTCTTTGTTACTATGACAACTGGATTCCAGGTGTCTGCTGTTCTTATCAACCCACCTTCTCATATTTCTCAAGACCTTCTTTTTACGGTGTGTTGCCTTATTTTTATTTATACAAGAAATAAATCTGTTTTCAAGCACTCGCTATTTTGGTTCTTATAAAACTGAGTTCTCTGGCTTAATACTTTCTTTGTTTGTTTGTATGTAGTTTTTTTTTGCATGGTTCTTAAGAAGTTAAGTACGGCGTTTAATATTTCTAAAAATATTGAACTTACAGTTATTTCAAATTTGTCAAAAGACGATGCAGGAAAATATTCGATGGGCTATTAATATTTACATGTGATGTTGTATTTCACTCATTTTTCTAAACTTGTTTTGTTTTAAAACTTTCTATGTGTAAGATGAAAAAGTAAGCTTTTTCTCATTTATTTTATTCGCAGTAAAACTTCTATCCAAGTCTGTTATCGTTATTGTTTCAACCATCTATGTTAAACTGTAAAATGTTACAAAAGGAATGTTTCTAATTGTAATCTGATACCAGATTTTTTGTTTTACCTTTAGGTTTTTACGATAACAGCAACCAAAGGAGGGGTGTTTACTATCGAAATCGGGGGTATTTGTATTCTCCGGTAACTGAGCCAAACTATGGTATCTTTAACGTCAACCAGAAACAGTACGATATAGACTGCAACACCTTTGATGGAAGATCTGGACTGTGTCTTCATCCTTCAGCTTGTCGTACTATTTTTAATCCTTTGGTTCCACGTCTTCAACCTTCTTATTGTTACTATGATAACAATGTTCTCGGAATCTGCTGCCCTTTTCAGCCACGGTCTGTGGACACTGAATCCTCGGAGTATTCTCCCATCATTACAGATTTGTATAACTAGTAAGGCTACATCTTTTCGGTCGATCGAAACCTCTCTCACTCGAACAAATGATAACAACAATATAGCAATCATTCCAATGACAGTACTGTTGTATTTGGGTCAATAAAACATCTATGTTTAAGCAAAATTCAAACAATCACTGTGTGGAGCTAGCTAACACTGAGATTTAAAGACACCCGATTTTCATTCATACTCATCGTGTTATTATATTCTACAATAATACAGAGTAGACACATTCAAATCAAAAATACAAAATCAGGAAATGCTGATGTAAATACAGCCTTTGATTCTGTCTTTTTAAAACATAAATTTGATATTTCTGTGATGATATGTGTTTTTATTAGCCTCCAAAATGTAGCTGTTACACGTGTTTGAGAGAGAGAGATTATTTTTGAATAATATTTACTATTTACGTACTTACAATAACTGAAAGACATTGATAACACAAGATGGGGATTAATTATGTGCACTTACAATAACTGAAAGACATTGGTAACACAAGATGGGGATTGATTATGTGCACTTACAATAACTGAAAGACATTGATAACACAAGATGGGGATTAATTATACGTACTTACAATAACTGAAAGACATTGATAAACAAGATGGGGATTAATTATGTGCACTTAC